TGTGGAGGAAATCAATGCGGGCAGGTCACTTGTATACAGAAGGAACAGCACTGGCCCCAAGACAGAGCCTTGAGGAACTCCACTTGCTACATGATGAAGGTGAGACTGGCTATCACTGACGCGCACAGAGAAAGTCCTCCCGGTGAGAAAAGCCTTAATCCACAGTAACAACTCGCCTCTTATTCCCATACATTCCAACTTAAACAGAAGCCTTCTATGTGGTACGCGATCGAAAACCCTAGAAAAATCTAAGTAGATTATATCAACAGGAGTCTTTGTGTCCAGATACTGAGTCCAATCGTTGAGAGAGTGGAGAAGGTTGGTCATTATTGATCGACCAGGGAGAAATCCATGCTGATTCTTAGGGATAAGGTCATTTTCGAAAGCAAATGACTGGAGCTTATCTAATATGATTCTTCCAGCTATTTTGGCGGCGATAGGAACGAGACTTATTGGTCGATAATTTTTAGCGGAGGATTTGTCGCCCTTTTTGAATACAGGGGTAACAGAAGCACTAAGCCAGCATGAGGGTAGGGTATGAGATCTAAAAGACGATGTGAATATCAAGCTTAATGGTAGGGCCAGTGCTGAAGCAGTACAGCAGCCGTCATCCCATCTTTACCAGGGGAGGAAGAGGTCTTCAGATTTCGCAGGTGCATTAATACATCTTCAGGCAGGAACTCAACTTCGCAAAGGCTGTTGGGACACCTATGGCAGATAGTGGTCGGTCGAAGGTCTCCATTAGGCTCATCGACGAAGTCATCACTAAAGGACTCTGCCAGTAAGTTGGCAGATTCGGTGGCATCCATATGGAGATGACCGTCAGCGTCGCGGATCTGAGGTGATGAAACTTTGGAATTCAGGTTTGTTCTTAGATACCGAAACAGCTTCTTCTTATTTTTGGAGGTAACGAGTTTTCGTTCATAAGCATGTTTGGCATTATGTAACGTTCTAGATAGGAGGTTAGAAAAGAATCGATGAGACACGTAATCTTGTGAATGGCCACTCCTCCTAAACCGTTGCCACAAAGATCTCTTGTGACGAAGCATCCTCGATATGTTAGAGTTGATCCAGGGCTTTGAGGGGTCACAGTATACCTTCTTTTCAACAGTATTGTCAGCCGTTTCGCTTAGGACTCGTTGAGCGAAAGTGGCCCACATATCTTGGGTGCTACGGTTGTTAAGCAAAGCAGGCCAGTTGACTTCAGACAGGGCTTGGTTAAGAGCATCGTGGTTTACAATTTTGATGGTTTTAAACTTATCCGTTGTAGAACGACTATTTATATTGAACTGGAGAGAAGATAAAAGTGAACAATGGTCAGACTTGCCAAAAGGTGGCAAATAATCTAAATTAGAAACAAAGTCTGCGTCGTTAACGAATATCAAATCCAGAGCCCTAGGCGTCTGTCGTTCCCTGAATCTCGTTGGACGATCAACAAGTTGAGATATACTAGAGTTGCGTAGCAAGTCGATGTAAGCAGCAGAAGAAGAATTACATTCAGGAATGGTAGATTGAAGTCACCAGCTATGAAAAGGTTGGTGTTTTTATTTAAAAGATCTGAAATGAGACTGCACAGGTGTGTGTCTCCCAAACAGGGCCGTGGCCGATATATGCAGCCTATCGTGAAGCTGAAATTTGGGCACCTCAATTCCAAAAATAGATTGTCAATGCCATCGAAAGGACTGAAAGAGGGAGATACCGAGAAAGCCGACGCGATTTCCGTGCGAACATAAATGCATACTCCACCAAAACCAGGAGTGCGTGGTGAATCCATTCTGTATAAATAGTATCCAGGCAAATTGATGGAAGAGTCGGACACGTTGGAATGGAGCCATGTTTCAGTAAGACAAACGAACGTTGGATTATTGTCTCGAACAAATGCTTGGAGTTCAAGTAGCTTAGAAAAGAGAGATTGTATATTAGTGTAACAAACCGTCCAGTTTGCCACAGAATTTATCAGTTTTTTGAAGGTGTGATCTCCTGGGTAGCTGTGTGTACTATAGAAGGTTTACCACGAACGTATTTTATAGTAATATTACTTTCGCCTGTTGTTTGACGACGTCTAAGCTCTTCGCGAAGGTGTTGTAGTTCTTGCATTTGACCTCTGGTTTTGTCGTCAGAGATTTTTACGTGACGAAGCGTGGGGTGGCTAAGGATGGAGTTTTTCTTCCGCAAAATATTGCTGACGATAATAGGTGAGGAAGACACAACTCTAATTAAACGATTGCTGGAAGTTGTTCTGCCAAGGCGAGTGATGCTGAGTCGGTGATTTTCGGCAGATGGTTCAATATGCCTAATTATCTCTGATACTATGTTTATGTCATCGTTACCTTCAGCTATGCCCCTCAGAATGATATTGTGGGAACGTCTAAATAACTCCATTGTCTCAGCTTGGGAGCTTGGGGCAATAGGGGTAGAAGAAGCGCCGTTGCCTGAGTGCATCGTCTCCATAGATCTTGCAAGTCTCGATTCAATATTAGCAATGTTAGAAGACAGCTCTGTTTGAGTAACCTGGATATTTTGTATGTTGGTTTCGCAGGTCGCTATTAAGTCATCATGCCGAGAGATCGAGTCCGAATGTTGCTGTAGCAAGTTTCTACAATAAGCAACATCAGTTCTGAGTTGAGATTGAGAGTTCTTAATATCCTTTATGTCACTGGCCATAGTTGATAATTGGTTAAGTATAAGGGTGAGAGTGTCGGTAGGGGTAGACTGATCTGGTTGTAAAGGAGCAGTAGTTTCTGAACGAGCACCGCATGTGGAAGAGGTGGATCCGCTTCGGGTAACTCGTCCCTGTTTACAACAGGCTGGGCAAGACCATCGTTCTTTTCCGTCCGACAGTTCTTCGTTGTTATCACTGTATTTTTCTACATTATCCCCATCTTCAGGATCTTCATGTTTTTATTCTTCTTTCGTACAGTCCGACTCATGTTCCCTTATTCCAGCGGCTATTTCCGGATTACCCTATACGCTCTGTAGACTAGTTTCTTAATTTGATTTGACACTATTGACGAAATGTCCAAATGACAAAATGGAATATATGGTAAAATGGCTGAAGATTACTCCCACGGCTCTGGAAACTATCGCCAACAGGTCCACGGACGTACCTCTTCCTGCTCTTAACTTGAACACCTCTGGTTTTAAATATTTTTGGCTTTTCTCCGATATTTTGAGGTATTTACAGTGAATACTAATTTAGTAGTCTACTTTTTAACTTATGCTTCTTGAACGATTTCGAGAAAAATTTCGCTACTCCAGAAAGGACAACATATAAATAACCCGTCGGGCACAGCTAATAGATATACTTCTTGGGCAGCATATTCAGTAATAATTTTCTCACATCACTGATCTTATACTCATCGGGACCAATACACATAATCATCCAGATGCGATCTTGCTACACATCTTGCTACATGGTAATTATATGTTAAACTCATATCCAAAATCTCGCACACATTTGGCTATGTTGGTTAGACTTTTTCAATGTAGTCAGAGGCGGTTATTTTTGTAAAAAAAAAGTATGCAGGTTAATTTTTACTTATACCTCCCACCACGGATTTATCGAATACCACTAATTAAAAGAAAAACCGGCGAGACATGTCAAAAGATTTGTCAAGTGGGACAACTTTTTTACTAAAAACTAATTCAGCCCCTTTCGCCCCCTGTTCCCAGGGTCATCCGCTTAAAAATTTTAAACGACAAGGGGTATCAAGTAATAGCTTGCTTGAAAGGTCTTTTAAAGTCCTTTATTTTGACGTTATATTTTTTTAAATCGTTTAAAATAGCTGCACAAATAAGTTAGATGGATCTTCTTTACATCAATTGACGTGCGAACTGCTTTTAATTATGAGACAAATAAGATCAACCCCATCAGTTACAGACCACATACGCGTTGATTGCACGCTGCAAGTCATATCTTGTCGAAATCGCTAATCTCCGTACCTTTTACTTTATTTTCCCGAAGCATTTGCTTGAAAGGAAGAGGTAGAGACTATGAATACGAATTACAGCAAAACCTTTTACTTCTACCTTTTACTTCAAAGTTAATGCTTCATTTTTATAAATACGGGCTATTGAGCCGTATTCATAAAAGAGAAGCATATCCTCGGAGGCATAGGGTAAAACTATAAGGTCTTGCTTCGGAGAAAAAGGTAGAAGTATAAGCATATCCTTGTTTTCATATTCATAATGATTACCTTATACTCGCGAGGACATCCTCCAAGAAGTAGTAAAAGGTTGGCTGGTATTTGTATCTTGAGCGACATGTCCTGACTTGTTCCAGCTTGTAGTTAACGTGGGAGTTCGTTCACTCAGCATCACTGACAGTTGTACTCCAGACCTTACACAGACCGTTCCGTATTTTTACTGGATACAGCTTTTTATCAAATTAATAAGCATGTCATCCTCAAGTGATGAGGAAACTATAGAAAATAATGGCAACGACCTCAATGACCTTTCAGTGATGCTTGATTTCTATGGTGATGGTTTCCAATAAATAAAAAAGTAAATACGTACTGAATAGTTGTTTTTGTTGGTTATGATTTTAAATGGAAATATACAGGTGTTCAAATACTTTTGAGCGGTAATGTATGTGCAAGCAAAACATGGAGATTTTCCAAGAAAGCTTCTGCGTATATGGGTCTTGCTGGTGGCGATAGATGTTTGAAACTGTGCTCAATACTCCTATACGTTTCAGAAACATAGCTTTCGAATATTATTGAGTATATTTTCTGCCCTAAAAATATGTACACTGTCTTCTAAATCACACTGTATATATCCATAGTTCTGGTTGCGCTAACAATAGAATTTATCAAAATATAAGGTTACCTAGGAAGCACTTGAGGCGTTTTTATTAAATTTGAAAAAATAGTTAAGTGGTCCCTCTCAAAAATATCTAATCTAATCTGATTCATAGATAATATGAACATTCCCACGTGACTCATATATCCTTAAGTTTCTTTATTATATTAAATGTTTAGTTTTCAATATATTTTTTGCAGGTTATGTTCCCACGTTACCTGAGTCACAATGACTTATTTATTCATTATTTGGAAAGTATCAGCAAGTGAAAATCTAATCTATAACAATAGTAAGTACTTTAGTAATAAGTAAGCATTTCCCTAAACGCTCAGAGATCGAACAAACATATTAGTGATACATTTTAATGCTCTGGATTTTCCAACTACCCTTTTCGCCAGAATGGATATAAGTACAGCAGAACATCCAGCACTGAAGAACATCCAACACTGAACAACCTATGGAAAGATCCTATACAGAAGGCCAACGGAGTCTTTGAGGTCTCATATACTGAATGATTATTCTTAAACCAATTGTGAAGCAATTAGAAAATAACAAGTATAGATTGAAAAGTAAGTAATAGCGAGAGCTCCGGTAGCAGTAAAGATTTTCAACATTTATGGAGTTGGTTGCTAAGGGCCTAATCGTCTGTATGGCCTCCTTGATTTTCATAGCTTCCTACTGTTCCGTGTCAATACTCTATTTTGAGGTTATGTTACAAATATCTATATCAAATATCATCAAATATAAATAAATAAATTTTTCATGCTTTTGATTTATATCATCGGTTATATCAGAATGCAATTTCTCAATTCAAAAATAAAGCATAGCCTCACAACAGTAGAAATCCAGAAATACCCCAGCCTTTCTGAAGAACAGAAAGAACGATGAAAATCAAGGAGGCCATGAAGGCTACAATTGTAGAAACGACTGACGAAACGGCGCTAAGTGGAAATAGAAAAAGCCTCGATATCTAAAACTTCCAGACATTTCTGTTCCTCCGCCCGTATCCATGACAATGACTTCATAACATTGTGAAATATAAAGAAATACCACCTAATACCGAATTAAAGATCATCCACTTGGAACGAATACTCATCCAACCAGTCCGGTGTTCTTGAACCTCGGAAACCGTGGACATTCAAAATAAAGTCTTTGTCTTAATAGCATCCATAAAAAAATTCGTAGGTGTCATCTTAGGTACAAGAATTTACGCTGCCTATCTGTGAAACCAAATGATATCTTTGTCTAACACATGCTGGGAACTGGTGTCTTCTTCCTTCGTGAAATACGGTAGGCTGGTAAGCGGTTTCTTCGGCGGCGTTGCAACCTCTTGTGCCATAAAAGTCCGACTTATTTCCATCAGAAACAGTTTGTCGTTTCACAAAGTTTCAAGGCATATCTAGGGTGATTCACGAATCGCGACCAAAAATGTAATATCATACACAGGGCCGCATTTTAAGGGGGGTCTTCTATGTAACAATTTTTCCTAGATGTGTTGAAGTTTAAAAACAAAAAACATTTTTTTTTAAATCTCCAAGACCGTCAACTGGAACGAACTAAAATTTAGTATGTGGATTTACCTTAGTACTGTCCACATTCAAAAATCTCTACTTAAAATTAACGTGCACCAGTGGCGGAGATACAGGGGATTAGTGGCATTATTTCTCCAAATAAAAATAGTACGCCATTGTTTTTTTAAACGCTCAATTTTTCGAATTTTACCTTCAATTTGCTACACATAATTACTCTTGTGATTTTTCCAAGAGTGCACTGTTTTCGTAAAAATAAAAATAAAGCAAATTAGATCATTTATGAAAAGTCAAGTAAAACGTTTCTTTTTTTACATTTTTGTGTTATGAATTGGAGTTTTGCAATGATGAGTACGCCGATATTACTTTGTGTGCGGGTTCTGTAATGGAAATGCTTTAACGGCTTCTCGGAAGTACTGACGTAGATTTTCTAAAGACGCCAACCTACCCCAAAGGTTTTAAGGCGTTCATTTCTAAGACTTCGGAGTTAGATCCTATGATTTACGTATTCGGGTGCTGGTCATTTCAAGATAAGTGATGGAGCAGGTCAAGCCTTCCTATATTCTATCGATACTAGATGTTATAGGCAATCCAGCCTAAAAAGACTAAAGTTAAACAGTATAAGTGAAATGAACCTGTTGACCTGTTTTACAGGTTTGTTGTTGGAAAGGTGAATCTCAATCTCACTTCACTCGTGTCGGATGAAAGCAATTGATAGTCATCCGGTACCCCAAAGTCTACGACAAACCCCAAAAAAGACGTCAGTTCTACAAAAATAGCAGTTTTACCTCTTACAGCTTGTGAACGTTAGACATTAGACATTTTTTTAAACCTCTAGAATGTAAATAACAGATAGATCAAGTAAGGTACATATACAGAGAGTCACAAAAGTCCTGGAACGGCTCTGTATTTTCTCGATAAGGTATTTTTGGAAAAGATCAAGGTCAGGTACCTATCAGCAAGGAATTCAACCTGACCTTGAATTTGACCTTCACCGTCAAGGTTAATTTACTGTCAACTTTATTTTTTCAAATAGAAACCTCCATTTCTGATGCCGACAATCGAAAGGTCGGAAAAGGTAAACATAACTATCAAGGTCAGATCAGTAGTAAATTTTGGCGAGTGATCTTTGTTATCTCAAGGTCTTTTTTTTAAAAGAAACCAGCAGGAACCGGCATCGATTAAAAATTATTTGTAATGAGCACCGCATTTCCCTCGCTAAAACTTACCAACAGATCTGACCTTCCAGTTATTCTCGTGACTATTCGTGTGAGATATCTAAAAGTTTTCTTAGTAGCACATATTTTACCGTTATGTGACCATTTGAACAAAACATTTCCGGTTCTCTAGATTGTCGGCATCAAATAGGCGTTTCTATTAGGAAAAAGAGAGTTGATTTTGGAATGACCTTGAAGGTGGGGTTCTAGGTCAAATGCAAAATCTGCACTTCTTGTGAAACTTTACTAAAGAACTGACCTTACCAGTTATTTTTGTCACGATATCTGCAAGATTTCTATAGATTTTCCTAGCAGCACATATTTGACTTTCATTTAACCTATTTGACCTCCAGCGGTCATCTTGATCTTGAATTTTAATATATATTCGAATGGTCTTCCGATTGCCAACATCAAAAATAGGGATTTCCATTCAAAAAAGCAAAGCTGACCTTGGAATTACCTGGAATGTGAGGATCAACGTCAAATCCAAGATCACCGTTGACTCGCTCGTTAAAATTTACCAAAGACCTGAACTTGATAATAGTTTTCATTACTAATTCTGAGAGATTTATAGAGGTTTTCCTAGCTACACAGATTTGACTTTGTCCTTGGACTTCAATTTGTATTTGAACGTAAAATTTTCCACCATTTCGATTGTCAGTATCAAAAATAGGGATTCTCATTCAACAAAATAAAGTTGACTTGAAGGTCAGTAAGGTCACTATCCAGGGTAGTTCCTATAAAAACGGAACTTGATTCTCTTTTGGATTTCTATGGTGTTAGCATTCATCTTGGAAAGTATGATTTCTGATTGTTTAGCATAAGCTTGTTTTTGTGTGGCATGTGTTATAAATTTTGTTTTGCACTTAACTTTATCCTCTGAATCACCAACAAGAGCTGTTGTGTTATCTGCGTATAAAATAATTTTTCCATTACTTGTGTGTCCAGCTGTTCTAATGTAGTGCCAAGGCCCAACAATCGCTGAAGGGCCTAGCTTTGTTTTGATCTTGATCAGACATTTCTGGATCAATCTAAAAAAGTTAAGCAGCCCACCGAAGATAGAAGTGCCGACCAACCTTTATCACTCAACAGTTCAAGGTTGTTTGATGATGTAGTACAGAAAGACAATGTGTATGCAAAAAAATCAGTTTAAATGGGATTTTCGTATAAAACCTTCTTTAGCCTAAATTATTTTGGGTTAGTAACAAGATATTTCATTTAGGTACTTGTCATAAAAAAATAATACCAATGCATTTTTGAAAAACTCAACCATTTCTGTCCGAGCCACATGTGAAACTAACAAAACTGTAAATATTATAACATTTGTAGCCCAAGAATAGCTCTTTTCAACTATTTGAAAATATTTTCCGGGTTTCTCTCTAGATCGTTTTACAAAGAACTTTTTCTGTTGCAAGGTTCATAGATACAGTACCTCGCATTCTCAGTTGGCCAGCCTGTACATGATAAAGAATTTGAAAGTTGAACAAAATGGAAGGACAGAACGAAAATACAACTTACGAATGTAAAACAGTCTCTATTCAGTCACTGAATTACCAGATGTTCATTTCATGCTACAAAGTTTCGTTTAAACCTCTAGCTTTAGACGTTTTTTAATGTTCGATCCAGAAAGTGAAGTCGTGATGTTCCCAGTTTGTCTTAAGGCTTTTTTGTCTTTACCAGGAATTACAGTTCGCCGAGTTCGGTACATAAGAGACTCATTAGTTGGAACTGGGAAATCGCCCATCGACATGCGTGGAAAACACAAGGCACGACTTCACAAACTTTCAGAAAACACAAAACAGAAAGTGACCGAGTTTATTAAGAACCTCAAATGCCGCAACTCTCATTATTCTTTGGCAGATTCGCAAAAAGTTTAGCTACATGAAAATCTAAACATTGCAAAATTATACAAAATGTTGAAAACAAGATTTCCTATGAATCCTTCCGAGAAATCGTTGAAAACAACTTCAATATATCGTTCGGTTATCCACGAAAAGATACTTGTAGTACGTGTGATTCCGTAAAAGCTGATATATCTTCACTATCTTCATATTACGAGCCCCTTCAAACTTCAGTTGGCCCACTTCAAGATTTGTACCAAAATATGCCTTGATAAACCAAACATGTCGAAACTATTTACTTCTAAAACAATTTATTTTCTCAAAAACATTTTAGATACACTGCAGTCGTAAAAAATACATATTTGAAATCACTTAGACCTATAACTAGTAGAACATCTGAACAAATAAACAATGTGCGAATAAATGCGCGAAGTTAACAAAGCAACAATTGAAAAATTACCATTGGGTAACATCACCTTTATTTTTTATTACGGCTGAAATTCTTTGGGACATAGTGTTAACCAAGTTTTGGAAAAAATCCCATATTTCTTGAAGCTTTTGTCTCAGTTCGGTGATTGTACGAGCAGGATGTTGTCGTAGAACCTTTTTCATCTCGTGCCACAAAGTGTCAATAGGTGACAGATCTGGACTGCTAGAAACCCATTTCAAAAGTGGTACATTATTTTCTTCCATCCATTTTATAGCCTTTTTGAGGTATGGTACGCTGCACCATCTTGCTGAAACACAAAATCTTGGTCGGATGTCAAACATTCTTCCATCACTGGTAAAAGCGATTCTTCTAAAATTGCCAAATATTTGATTCACATTTCCATCAATAAAATGAAGTTTTCCTACTCCTTTTGATGACATACTGCCCCAGACCATAATGGATGCTGGAAATTTCACTTTTCTCTTCAGACAGTCAACATGGAATGCTTCATTTTTTTGCGAATAACTCTACTGCTACTGTCACCAACACAAACTTCGAATCGGGCCTCATCACTTCATTGTATTGTACACCATTGTTGAGGTGTCCATTGTTTATGTTCTTTAGCCCATCTAAGCCGATTTTTCTTTTGCAGTGGAGTTAATAGTGGCTTTTCTATGGCCTATAAAAAAGTTGTGCAACTTTAGGGTTTTTCCTTCACTTTTTTGTATAAGAAAACTTACCTTGCAAGTGCTAAATCCCAGTTTGTGGGCCTCTCTATGGGTTGTGGACCTCGAAATTCTCCTTCCATACAATATTTGTCACACTGTACCGCGATAAGTCTAACAAAGTTGCAATTTCTGAGTTTGATTTACAGAATTAAAAAACTAATTATCAGTAACTGAATTTTCTCAGTAACAACCTTTCCTCTACCCATTTTGAAAACCTTAACTACCCAAAACTATTTTAAACGTATTCTGACAGCTGTGATTAATAAAACAATTGTCATGGCTTTTATTTTTCACAGCCACCTATGCGTTATAGACTTATTTTGCATTGAAAATAGGTTGATATGCTGTAATCGCAACATGCGTTATTTTTATGCTGCAAATTTGATTAGGGAGTGATAAAGTTGGTGTTTTCTACTAGATATTATCATTGTTAATATTTTAAACCTATAACACCCTGCTACATTTTTATTATTCGTGTTTGATAAGAAAAAAACTAAGATTTCAATAGTTGGGCCAACTGAAGTGGGAAGGGGCTCGTACGAATCTACTAGGCCTCTAAGAGTAGTATATTCCCGTAGATCCTCCACAATATGGCAACGTAGCTTCGTTCGCCGATGTCGGTCCTCCGTCACGACATTCTCGACATGGTACCCCGGCTAGAGGGGACCGCGCCATCCAATAGCCTGCGCCTGCCGAGTGCTTCCCCCTACCCGCCTGCCCTGCGTTCAGTGCGCTACATCACTTCTCGGGTCGCCGCAGTTCGACCAACACCGAGTAAACTTTGGTCCGCGACGCGTCAACAATTTCGGTCACAAAGCAGGTCAACCAATAGACTTATTAGTGCGGGTTGCGGTGACGAACGGTGACCATGTTCGACGTGTTCGGCTCCGTCAAGGGGCTGCTGAAGATCGATTCGGTGTGCATCGACAACAATGTCTTCCGTCTGCATTACAAAGCCACGGTCGTCATACTGGTTGCGTTCTCTTTGCTCGTCACTAGCAGACAATACATCGGAGACCCTATCGACTGCATCGTGGACGAGATCCCGCTCAATGTTATGGACACTTATTGCTGGATCTACTCTACGTTTACGATCCCGAATCGACTTACGGGAAGAGTGGGACAGGATATAGTACAACCGGGGGTGTCGAGCCATGTGGACGGTAAAGACGATGTTAAATACCACAAGTACTACCAATGGGTGTGTTTCGTACTGTTCTTCCAAGCTATGCTGTTTTACGTACCACGATACCTGTGGAAAACCTGGGAAGGCGGAAGGATCAAAATGTTGGTGATCGATCTCAACTGCCCGATTGTAAGTGACGACTGCAAGAACGACCGAAAAAGACTGCTAGTCGATTACTTTACGACGAACCTCCATATGCAGAACTTCTACGCGTTCAGGTTCTTTATATGCGAGGTCCTTAACTTCATCAACGTCGTCGGACAAATCTTCTTCATGGATTTCTTCCTCGACGGCGAATTCAGCACGTACGGTAGCGATGTGTTGAAATTCACGGAAATGGAACCCGAAGAACGAGAAGACCCTATGTCGAGGGTGTTTCCTAAAGTAACGAAATGCACATTCCACAAATACGGTCCGTCAGGGTCGGTGCAGAAGTTCGACGGCTTGTGCGTGCTTCCTCTCAATATCGTGAACGAGAAGATCTACGTGTTCTTGTGGTTCTGGTTCATCTTCCTGAGCGTCCTATCCGGAATCTCTTTGATCTACCGCTGTTGCGTCATCGTCGGACCCAAGATGCGTCTCTACCTCCTCCGAGCCAAGTGCAGGATTGCATCTGCAGAGCAAGTGGAAACGATCGCCAACAAGTGCGAGGTCGGTGACTGGTTCGTTCTGTACCAGCTAGGCAAGAACATCGATCCGCTGATCTTCAAAGAGGTAATGTCGGATCTAGCGAAGAAACTAGAGGGCAAAGAGACTGTATAACGAATGTAAATGATCAAGTGCGTAGGGAGTGGAAGCCCTACTGTTATATACTCAAACGCCATTCCAAGCGATCAACTACGGACCAATCTGCAAAGTTCTGTGATGACAGACAAGACTGTAAATAAATATATATGATTTCCGGCCAGCTTTTCTGGGTTTGGCTGTGATATATATGTTGAAAGTATGTAATTTTGTAAAACGGTACGATAGCTCAATTAGGTCATTCCGCATTATACTTCGGATGGTCCGTTTTCATATTCCCCCGCTAGGCGTAAGACAAAGACCATAACTAGAACAAGAATTTGCATATTGTAAAAGCAATTTTACTTTAAAGCTATTGTGGAATTCATATCTAAGGGAAAACCCAGATAGTGCCAAAAGAGGCAAATGACCCATATGTAATTGATATGATTTGCCTACAGCAAGATGGAACTTAAAATCAAATGTTCTTCCACGTTTTTTCTGGTGCCACATCTAGTGTCCTCTGCATGGCCGAGTATATTCTGTATTTTACTCAAAATGGGAGCCAGATATACGCTCCTTTGTTGTTGTTGTTGTTTTGTAGAAAGCCATAAGATCAAAAGCCGCCTGGTCGGTGAATATGAGAACGACCTCTTGTACTCCGCTTAAAGATATATTCCTAAAATTCGCGTTTATACTGCCAATAGCATCTTCCGTAAACTTCGCGACGACTTTGTTGTGAGAGTGTGTGCAAGAAAGGAACAGGTTTGCATTGCGGAGACCGATTTCGCATTTGCGCCGACAGGTGGCGTGGCGGCCATGTGCTGAGGCCACGAGGCAATAACCAGTCACAGGTTGCTTCAAGAACAAAGAATATGTCTGTGTAGAGACGGTAGAGTGGACCGAGGTTCCCACGGGCCGAGGAATGCATCCTGCACTTACGTTTATTAATGACATAAATGGGCGCTTTTGTTTCGAATACATGATTGATTTAAATTATTTGATCCGTTCGATGTTGCCTGTATAATTAGCAGGTCATTTTCAGTTATAATATCGATTCCTCAGAAACATCCAAAGAAAGGTGTCTTAAGGGCCTGACCAGACCCTATGTTATTGCCTTGAAAGGGTGTTGATTTTATCAAGAGTTATTGATATCTTTGGGGTCTGAGCAAGGCTAATCTTGTTTTAAAATAGATTTTAAGTTCTTCTGCCCATTTGCCCTCAGAATGATTTCAAATACTGGTAAAGATGATTCAGGATTACCCCTTATTCTAATTAGATAGAATTAGATATAGATCCATCAGTCTGTGCCCTCAAGTTCCATGAAAAGTTTGCGTCTACAAAAAGTGGCCTGTAGAGAGACAAAATAGTATCATACTATTCTAAATCATTAATACTCAAAAGACTTATGATTTATAATATAATTTTGTTAGTTTTTTGCGGTATTCGTGCTGTCAAACAATAAATCAAAGCTCTTATCGAAAACTGGCCTGCGCTAGTGGGCGCCGCCGTTGTTTAACTCAGGATGTATTAAAAAGGCATCTCATTAGTTCAATAGAACAATGCTGAAGAATGAGGTTTAGATACTGCTAAAATATTTGTGCTTGATATGATAAAGGTCGAATCATGAAGATAAGCTCAACAATACACGCACAAACCATAAAATGATACTATAAACAATCTGACTTGAATTATTGTGTTCGGATTTGTAAAACAAATCGCCATGTTATCATCGTAATGTCAAAATATAAAGATTTAATGCATACCTGAATAGTTTGTTAGCATGCTGCATATCCTAATAGTTATGTTAGTAGGCGAACTTTAGCACTCTATTGTGTTTTTATTACTAGAAAACGTGGTCCTAACGCTCGTTCCTGTTTCATCATTATGCTTTATAAAATATGCTACAAACTTCATTGAAGGAATCAGTTTATCAGATGTATTTTTATCCTAAACCAAGTTGGATGCCACATCGTGACTTTTATAACTTGTTAGCTAGATAACCAAAAAACAAGTATGGCAAATCGATGTTTCCACATGACAAGAATGCTGTAGTATCAAAAACATGTTTTATATATATTATACAAGATCAATTTCTGGACACTTTTGTTTCAAATATCACGCCTACCTTACCATTTTTAGAGAAATTGTTCATTGTATGCTATATTTTTATTAAAAGATAAGATTATTTTCGCATATAATCGAATATCAGTTTTTATCAAAAATTATACCGCATTTATGCTAAATGATGATAACGAAAAGATTTACACATTTTACAACTCTGTCTTCGTTATCTAAAGATAAAGTATGTATTTAACCTTTCAGTAATATTTTTTCTGTTCATTGCAATACGGTAAACTCAAGTTCAAACGTGGTCAGAATGTGGTCGTATTACAGCTCAGGATAGCTTATCAATATTTACTCATTTTAAAGAAAACACTAACACTTCATAATTGCTAATATTAAAGTATAATGATTATGCAAGGACATGTTTCAATTAATTGTGCAACCGACCATGTCGTTTTGTATTCTTCCATGTTTTTTTACATTTATGGTACTCATATTTCATGTAGTATTGTTTTTAAAATAGAATAAGGCATGAAATTATGAAATAATGTGAGAAGTCACACAATATTGAACTGATAATAAATTGATGTAGAATTTGAAAAAATTTGCTAATTGAAGTAATAAACATCGTCTTATATAAAGCCTTAACCTTAAGACAGGCCAATCCCGTTTAAAAATACATAGTTGGGATTTAAAACAACTTTCTAAATAATATTTCCCACTGAAGATCATTTCAATTATTGAAACTTGAACAGACACTAAGCAGATGTAAGCTTGATTAACTGTATGCATCTATTGCATTGTCGAAAAATGCAAGTCATTGCACATTACATTATAATACCATCCTTGTAATTTTTACTTTACGTCAAAGCTCGGTTACTTTGAACATGCGGTTGAAGGATGTATTCAATTACAACCAATTTGAAGGCAGATGAGTCTTAAAAGATTGACCTTTTCCGGGCAAATGGTTAACACCATAGGATATGTATACATAGAGGATATCATTAATTTTAATATGGAATTTTCATTTTCTTTTACTCGTAATACGGTCAATCCCCAGTCACTTTCAGATGAACTAGAATATAGCTATTTTATGTTTAGGCCCGTCTTAGTACGCAATGGCAATGAGATCATATCACTACGATTTCAAATGTGTACAAGATATGAGGAAAAATTTCAAGATCGCTTCTTATATTCTCTCAACTCTTGATATAGGTATAATGAATGTTCTTTTATCTTGGTTTTATTAGACGAACTTTAGATAAGAGTTAGCAATTACTCTTTTGATGGAATAGCTGTTAATGCAGTATATATTTGCACATTGTGAAAATTTCCGCTGCCAATATAAACACATTACAATATGGTGTTTATACTGCAGTGATAAACTACACCGGATCAACCTTGCCATGGTTTTCTTTGACCTAAAATTTGATGCTTGAGTAAACAAAATACACGGATGACAGTTTCGAGTATCAGGTATCTCGCTTACTCTGGCTTCATTGGATGCGCGATGACATCCAATATCCTGATGTTATTAATGCATATCTTGCCATTCGAATTTAGGGCCATATCGTCAGTCGTACCTACAATGGTAGTATGTCTAGATTTCTACTGTTTAGTGTCATCACGGAATTCTGAGAAATTTCTGGCCGTTAAAACTTGGTTTTTATCATCTGTTTCTTAAGATTCAAAAAGAAAACATAACCTCACAATAAGGCAGCGCCGACACGGAACAACAGAAATCTAGAAATACCCCAGAATTTCTGAAGGAGAGAACAGACTATGACAATCAAGGAGGCCATGAGGGCGTCCTACAATTATAGAAATGGCTGACGATACGGCCCTTAGACATCGCTATAATTTGCGATATCCGCATTTGGGTATTGATGTCTTAGTTGAAGATGAGCGTTGGTATACACTCAAATAAAAATCCTGTATCTAAGAAAGGTTTATAGTTACGTGATTCCATATCTATAAATTTTTCTTCAGTAAACCAAAATAATTTCAGTAATTTATATTTTTGAGTATTTAAAAGACTGCTAATTTACTGATTAAATCTACGCAATCAAACCAAGTTTAAATAATCTGAGGTATTTAAGGCAGTTATGTCTTTTTCTACGATTTCGGCAGATCCTTTTGACTGAAGAAAAATGTTCGACTTTTTTCTTATTTGTGCCCTGAACTATCGTACTACACAGACATATTCAAATCCCACAAAAGACTGCAATGAAGTTTTTCATTGAATACATATCTCTATTTTGTACGGTCGCTTACGATAACGTATTTCTCTGCAGTATTGGAAAATCATTACTGGAACTTTTTAAACTGATACTAAAGCTGTTCTGAAGTATCTGTAGCACATTTTAATCAATCAGTTGGTTCACCAGATTTAATTTTCTAAACCTGTAGCGTTTGAAACAATCTGTGACCATGGTTGCGAAGTCGCATTTTCCGTGATAAAAAGCTAAGATGAGCAACACGTTGTTTTTATACAAATGTTCAAAGTTAAGGTGCAGTTGCTGTTTTTGAAGGGTTAGGGTGTAGATAGATAAGATAGCAGCTGTTGTTGTCATATAATACTGTATCAGAAATTGTAAAAAGGTATGAACTTACCGTATATAAAATGTGCAAGTTTGTTTTTATATTTAGACCAATAATTTTCACAATAATACGTACATATCAAGCATTTTGATAATAATAATATTCGGTTGCAATTTAGAAGAGAAATGAGTGTATCAAAAATGATGAAAGTGTGGAAATAACTATTTCTGATTGTTCCAATAGGTCGTGATAGTGTGTTGAAACAGTATTGAAAGCCCTATCTACACGCCAACTCTAATAGACGCGAACTGTGTCTTAACATTGAACGGACTTTAGATGTGTAATAATCAATTGTAATTTTAAATCATTTGTGATGTTTAGTGTATAGTTTAGACTAAGTTCCATACGTATAATTCCACGGCGAATTTTTA